TTTTTTTTTCTTTTTTTTTTTTTTTTTTCTCTCCTTTTCGTTCGTTCGTTTCTTTTGTTCATTAGTCTCGATCACTCGCGAACATACACATCGCGTACATACATATGGTCCATTTGCCACCTTGCTTTCAATCCATTACCATCCGATCAGCCCGCAGATATACATACACATATATACAAGGTAGTCTAGTTTTTCTAGCCAAATTTTGTGTACGTACATTCGCCGCTGCAGCGACGAAGATAAAAATGTTATATAAATATAGATCGTCCGGGAAGTTTGTCGAGAACCTCGAAACGAAAATACGAAACATAGAAGGAACGATACAGGTAGAGTTTTTTTTTTTTCTTTTTTTTTTTTTTGGTAATAGCGTCCTTGTTTTCGAATGGCTGGCGCGCGTTTTGAAGAAAAAATTCGCGCCAGCTTCTCCCATCGGACGCAAGTATTTAGAAATAACGTAGAGATGTAAGACACGCATTTATTTGCGACGCGCGAGAAAGTGAAATTGGCGATGTCAGTCGAGGGATTTACAGCGAGAAGAAGATAGCTCTGCTTTTTACATATTTTTTATTACGTATGCTGTTTCATTAAAAAAAAGAAAAAAAGAAAATGTGACCTTCCACTCGGCGTGAAGATTTAATTTTTAATTACCTTTTTTTTTTTTTTTTTTATTGATTTATTAAAATTACCAAAATGAACGAAGCTGTCTCCTTGTCGCAGCAGCTCTTTCAATCAGACTTACAAATGCAGAAAATTTTTTTTAAATAAGTGTACTTTCGAATACTTGCGTTTGATTAAGAATCTTCTGCCAGATGTAGTGTAGTGTCGTAGTGATCACAGATCTATTGCTATCCTTAGTAAAGCCTTAAACGACGCACATTTATATAACATTTGTTTCTTCTTCAACACCAGTAGAATGCACACGAAAAATTTGATCAACGAAAACTCGAATACCCTGTGTGTATAGAGTAAAGTCACGATGGTGATTCTACATGCAAAAACGAGTCGAAGAGGAAAGAGCAATATTTTCTCATTTAAAGCTTCGTTTTTAAGGGATTTGTCAACTAACACTTAATAATATTTATTTAAGGTGTGGTAAATTCATACTTGATGAATTTCTGAAATTTAATTTTCTCCACACTTTCGTTGTTTTATTTTCGTAGGTAGAACAATCGCTTGCTCGTTATTTGTCGATTCAGTCTTGAATAACTAGCTAAATTTAATTGAACAGAACGATCAAAATTACTGCTACGTAAAGTATATAACTTTCAAAAGAACGATTTTTCTCTTTTTCTACTTGCCTTTGCATGCAGAGTCCAGCCATTCGTGTTCCGTAATTTCGGGAACACCGTATTTATTCACGCACAAACACACAACTCATTTTTTTTTTTGCCATACGTACACACGGTATACGAAGCTGGTTCTCTCATTCGTCATTTTCGTTAACATTATTCCGGCTCTCCTCGTCTATATATGTATGTACATGTTTCACGTATACAGTGTGTCCTAACATTGCGCACCGTACTCACCTCTGTTGTCTGTAACTAGTTGCACCGACCATTCGCGTTCGGGTTTCGTTGAAAGTAGAGTACAGCGAAATAGAGAGAAAGGAAAACGTGGAAAAAGCACGTGGACCACGAGATCTCGCCTCCGCCAAGAGAATTTCATCCAAGATGATTGCTCGCATCGCGAGATCCTCCCGGCCGGACGATACAGTTTCACGATTCGATTTCTTCCTGCTGATGAACGTAACGGTGAACGCAGCGAGCAATCGCTGGATGCTGTTCCAGGCAAGAACAGAACGGAACAGATGGATTCTTGCCACGCTTAGAATCGCGTTTTTCGACCAGGTTCAAGCGCGAAACGCCTGGCCATCGTTTCTGTGATCGTCACTTCGCATTAATCCACCTGGGCGTTTTTAACGCGTGAAATTATTGCATACAGTGTGTCTCGCTCTCTGTTTCAACTTGATGGAATCTGATGCAGCGAAAGATTTGAAATTTTGCGCAATTTTGATCGATTAAAGTGAAAATGTATTATATATCTACAAAAAGAACTATATATCTATGACTTTTCGTATTATTCATGAAATTGCGTAATTTAAATTGAAACCCGTGTTGTCGTGGCGATGAAAAAGTTCTCGAATTTTTTTTCTTACTTTCTTTTGGAAATTTTTCAAAAACTAATACCATAATAGATACTTTCGATTCACCTTTTTTGTTCCGTATCTTGTACATATTTTGTAAATATTCACGATTATGTGAAAAGTCAGAATTTCTTTCACCCGTAGGAAAAGAAATATTGTTCTGTTGTTACACGTGAACTATATTTGCGCAGTGTTTCAAATTTTTTTAAAATTTTCCAGTTGTCGAATTTCCCTTGCTAGCTAAATGGAATTGTCTAAATGTTTTTGCCTTATTTACCTGGTTTACTTTGTGAAGAAGCTTTTTAGAACAAAACTATGTTATTTGGAAAAGTATATGCTGGTGGTGTAATGGAAAATTTCAAATGTATTTTCTTATATGTTATATACAATGTAAATTATATTATACGTAAATTAAATTTAAATTAAAATTGCATTTTTTTTTTAAATTTGATGCAACTTTCATTCTCTGTACCAAAAGTATAAAGTATTCGCAGATGAAAATGCTTCGTTTGAAAAATATTTCAACTTTGAACTCTCGTCTAATTTAGTGTACGAAAAATAAGAAGAATGTAAATACTAAATAATATCATGTTTGTTCCTTTCATCTTCCACGCACCGAATTTTCTAAAATTAAAATAACAACGTCTTTTAAATTAAGAATTTTCAGACTCGAGTGAATATACGGATGAAAAATATAAAGTCTATTTAGAAATATACTGATAAAATCTACTCGTAAAATCTCATGAAAAAATTGATTCTTACTTCGTTTCGAGAAGTTTCTTTATACAACAGCAAACAAGGTAGACATTTAGATGACTCTACTTAGCTGAGACACCCTGTATATATACCATCGTTGTCGAATGACTGAATAATTCTGTCGTTGATAGAAACGTTAATGACACGCTAATTTTTCACGGTCTTTGTCGATTAACGAACGAAGCGATCGATAAAGTGTCGAGCTTTTCATCAGAAATTCGTACGAGGCTTCGTTCATGGAGGCAATGATCTGGAATATTTGAGCTGCTTAATGTGAAAATAGTGTAAGTCAATTTCTGAATGAAGTAAAAATTTTGTATCAAAGAATGTTATGTCGTGTATTAAGTTGTATTTTATGTATCCACTTTTGCACAAGTTAACTTCTGTATAAAATAAATAAAATAATTATATATTATTTATTATAAAATAAATAAAATAATAAAATTTAATTTTTTTTTAATATATTTATGTATAATTTTATTATTAATAATTAATAATTTTATAATAAAATGAATTATTTATGAATTTTCAATAATTTTAATAATTAGATTATTAAATATAATAAAAAATTCAACAAAAATAATTAGAATTTTATATTATTCAATTTCATCTTTATCATCTATTATATTTATATTTTTTTTAATTATTAATAATTATTTAAATTTATTTTCCAATATTAATTTAAAAATTTTAATAAATTAATTTAAAAATTTTAATAAATTTTTTTAAGTAAATTTTAAATTGTGCAGAAGTTAACCTGTGCAGAAGTGGATAATTTTAATAAATTTTTTTAAATAAATTTTAATGAATTTTTTTATATTAATAGAACGAAGATTAAGCTTTCAAAATGTAGCGTACAAATTGGATGGACAAGAAATTGATTTGCATCACGTTTGCTTTGAACGGTTCATTTATTTGTAGACTGCAGATGTTCGTGCGAGTCCATATTTTTACAACTACGATTCAGAAAAAATGGAACTTAGACACAGATTTGTTTCATCCACAATAAGTATTACAATATATATATATGCATACTAGATTTTGGACATTTCACATATCTTTGCATATTACGTGTACCCTATATGCTTCTGCACCTTTTAATTTTGCATAAATGCATAAAGATCTGCAGTCTATTTATTCGCATGGGAGAATGAAAAATTTCTTCTTTATTACATAGGTCGTCCTGTAAGTAACGTGGTTTTTCCCGAGGGTTACGTTTAAGATGATGGAAATTTTACAATTTTTTCACAATTGTCGACACTGCTGAGAAAATAGAAAAAAATCGATTCGATCGATCAATTTCCAACCGACTGAAAAACCAACTACGTACACAGTTGTACGGGATGACTTGAAATAAATTAGGAACGTTTCCTCCTTCATAGAAATCTATCCTAGTAATAAATTGCCTCGATCCGCGAAAAAAGGAGAGCACGTTTGAAAAATCCGTGAAGGGAGCCGCGGTACACCGAGTGTACGTATCTCGAATTCTTCTTTAGAATCTGTACTCTTTGGTTTCCTTCCTTCTTTCTCGCGTGCCAAGTCGGTTACAAAAGACCCCCGTGCAACCTAAAACACGTGACGCGTTCCATGCGCGGACGAATCTACCCGCTTTCTCTACCCTCTTCCAACGTCCGTACATCGTTCTATGAAAAAGGCGTCGATTGCCCCCGAAGAAAATCGAGAAACGATAAATCATCGGTTGTCGAGTTACCGGCCACCGATACTAATTCAGCTTTCATTGCAGACGTGATCGCGACACCGGTGGTGTACTCCGCCCAGACATTGACCGGCGCCCTGATAGGGACCTGCTTCTTCTCGCTGGTGGCCGGATTCGCTTCTGGTTTCTGGTTCTCGCAGAGGCTACGCGGCGCCCCATATCCGGAGCCGTCCGAGCAACGACAGCAGCTGAACCGGCTGACCGAGAGCTCGGAGTCGCCGGGCTTCAACAACAAGTCGATCAACCTGGTGCTGAACGTGCCGCCGAAGAATCCGAACGGCAAGAACGCGAACTCGTCGGCGGAGAACAAGCCGGTGCAGAAAGTGAAGAAGACGTACATATGATATAGAAGACGACACAGGGCCGTCTGAGGCTTGCCGCAGGACCCCACGGGTTCCGGCTCTTCTTCCTCATCCTCATCCTCCGATCTCGCGGAATCAGACGGTCGCAACGACGACGACGACGACGAGGACGACGGCAACGACGACGATGACGATCGTCCCGATCGTAGCAGCGTCGAGAACGACGACGACAACGACAACGACGACGACGACGACGACGACGACGATCGGCTGGCGCGTGTCATCGTCGCCGGCTGCGTGTTCGATCAGCTGACCAGACACGACGAGGACGCGTACGAGAGCGTGGTCAGCGAGGAAAGGTCGCTCGAGTTCCTCGCCGCTCACGTGCAGCAGGTGCCTTACGATTCGCGATCGATGTCGAAGGTCACCGATTACGGCAGAAGATACGACCAACAGCTGGAGTACCATTCCGCCTGTGAGTACACCGAGACAGCATTGACAGAGCTGGCTAACGGGCTTCAGGATTACAGCAGCAGCAGCAGCGCCAACAGCCTCGACGATCTCTGCCGTGGCCATCGGAGGATGTTGAACGATTTCAATCGTGGCGACGAGTCGAGCACGCGTGATCATTACATGGTGCCCACACGCGATCCTCGGGAGCTGAACGAGAGGATCCTGTCGTTGTTTAATCCGCAGTTCCTGCCCAACTTCAACGACATGATCATGTACGTGGCGAATCAGTACGACGCCAGACGAACCCCGCCGCCCAGATCGCGATCGATGGCCGCCGGGGAGGATCGATTGTTCAGGAGTTCCAGCTGTCGGAAGAAACGCGTTGGCGCCAGCTCGATGTTCTTCCGGCGTGGGCTGGCGTACGAAACGGCGCGCAAGTGACACAGGCTGTCCGCTATCGAATTCAAGCGAACGATACAGCGTTTGATCACGCGCGATAAAATGTAAAAACGTCGAACGTGGTCGAGTAAGAAGAAGAAAAAGAAGAAGAAGAAGAAGATGATGATGATGATGATGGGGGCTTCGATCGATACGCGATGGAAACGCGTACCGGAAGATCGAGTGGATTAAGCTTCGGAAACGGTTTTATATATTCGCCGATGCGTTTACTATTGTGACTGTCCTTCGAGACGTCGAGAGAATCTTGACCCGTACGCGTTCTCGTACCGGAGAGTCTCGTCACGAGTCTACACGAGAAGAAGACCACGACGTTGCATGCGTATTTAGTGTCGGCGTTACCTGAGATATCTTCTTGAAAAAAAAAAAAAAAAACCGTGGTGGTACTCGGGAGATGACTACGGATTTCATTCTCTTTTTTTTCTTTTTTTTTTTCTTTCTTTTCGTCGTGTCGTTCACGATCGTGCGTACAGAACGACACAACGTGTTCGTTGCGAAGCCACTTCCGGTGTCACGTGTCGTATCGTCTGATACGTGTACCGCGAGAGAACAGAGACACGCGCGCGGGCTTTGGAACTATTTTTTTAAGACATTGTCACACTTCAGGCGATGCCCCTTTTTTTTTTTTTTAAGCGGAGAGGGCATCGCGCGTCGGACGCTCCAAGCATACACCGAGCTGATTTTTCTACAGAATTCGATCGATTTTCGAGTTCTTCCTTTCCGTTTCTCACCAGTACGGCAATGGAGGGATAATGGGAAATGAAGGGACACGCGAAACGAAGAAAAAAGAAAAAAGAAAAGCAAAAAAAAAAAAGAAGAAGAAAAAAGAAGAGGAAGAAGAAAACGGAGTATAACCAAGCGACAACGACGATGGGACAAAGGATTGACTCGTAGCTGTGTAATGTGATACGATCAGAGGAGAGACTGTGTTCGTAGCAGTGGCCTGCTTAGGTGCTTAGAACCACGGTGATTCAAGGACGAAGACGAAGCGTCCTGCCACTTGGATCCTCGTTTCTCAAACTGCCCTCCTCCGTGAACTTTGCGCTCCCTTGGCTCCTTGACCCGGGGACAAGAGCAGGACCGAGGAGAAAATCCCGCTAGATGAAAACTCTCGCTGAAGGACGAAGAAGAAAATTGCTCGCCTATACGCTGCAATAACTATCGAATTCGCTTTGTTCGACGATCCTCGAGATGAAATGATAAAAAGAAAGAGAAAAAAAAAGAAACAATTCCGAACGAGACAATTTTAAGAGAGAGGAACGAACGTTTGAGAGATGTGGTCCACGTGGAGGGACGCTTGATGCATTCGCGCGAGACGAGGCGTGCCTTCCGTATATTAATTGTTGGCAAATTTCTGATCTATAAAACAGGAATGAGAGAGAATGCGACCGGTATAGATTCAGGCAAGTGCCTCATTTATGCGTTTCATTTTAAAATGAATAGAAGAAGGGGGAGACGTTGGTAAACGTATGGAGAGAGAGAGAGAGAGAGAGAGAGAGAGAAAGAGAGAGAGAGCGAAAGAGCGAGAGAGAGTTAAAGAGAAATATAGAGATTTATGTAAGACTTATTCGAAATATTGTTGTGCACTTATTGCCGTGCTGTGAGTATATTGGTTATTAGCAAGAGAGAATTGCGGTGTTGAAGCACGTGTACGATTATTAAGATGAAAAAACAATAAGGAAAGAAACATTTACGCGCGTTGTGTAGCGCCTTCGAGGAGTTACATATTTTTGGCTGGGACGTGTTACGAATCGATTTATAACTGTTTAACGGTGTTCCGGGCGAGGTGTAGAGGTGTATCTTCTTCTTCATCCTTCTTTTTTTTTTTTTTTTTTTTTTTTTCTTATTTTATTTCATAAGATAAAGCAAGTAATACTGGATTGCGAATGAATCGCTCGAATCCGATTATCGATGATTTGATTTAACTGCAGGATACACATAATACAAGAGAGATCGAGATGGGATATAAATCTTGCGAATGCGAGGTAGAACTTTCGATACCTAAAACTGGTAATAATTTTTTATACATTTTAAGAAACGTACGCGAAAATATTGCATACGTGTAACCGAAAAAAATAAGGACAGCACGAAAGATTTTGTCTTTCTTGTATCAATAATTACGTCGTATAAATGTTTCAACGCATTTTTCATATTGTAAGCTTTTACTAAAATTCAGCATTCGTTTCTTCAAAAACGAAATACTAAGAATATTATTTTTCTCCGCTGGTAAAGGTATTAGTGAGAAAAATATTTAGAGAACGAGAACTATCTTAAAAGAAGATCGTTTTTTAACTTATTTTAATCATGTATATACATACACATACACATACTATATATACGCTACGCTATACCCTAATCAAACCTAAAGCAAAGCAAAGTATATCTTCGTACAGGAAACGTTCGAACAATAAAAGGAAAGAAAACGTTCAAAAGCAAAAACAAAAAAAAAAGAGAGAGAGAGAGAAGAACAAAGATTCGGATGATAAAAAGATTCGATCTTATGTATAAAAGGCATATAGTTTTAAATGAATTTTCATCGTTCCTCCGGACGATTCGATCTCGTGGGAAGGCGTTGCAAAATGTTGAAAACTCCGGACGGAGATTCGTTTGGCAATGATCAAACCGGCGAATAATAAAATCACAGGAGGGAACGCGACCAAAGGATATTTCAGATAAACGCATTCGCGCGATTCGCTTCGGCTGGTATTCCTGCATGTTACCCTGACACCTTAGCGAAAATTTGATAGCGTGTACGACAGTTCTCTACGACAAAGTATCCTCGAAGAAAGCTCGGTCGACAGAAAGAAAGAAAGAAAGAGAGAGAGAGAGAGAGAGAGAAATAAGGAAGAGGAGAATCCTCGGCGTGTTTGGCAAGATGCCTTTGACAATGGCGTAAATCGGTCTTACTAGCGTACAATAGCGAACACTGGGTGTATTTCCTTTACAACTTAAACCGTGGATAGAGTGCCTGCAAGAGGCAGCGGCTACCGTTTGTCCCAGATATCGGGCAAAGATGGAAAGAGAACAAAGGAGGCAATGTAGATCGAGAAACGTGGCCGTGATACCACGGTCTGAAAATAGAGCGACTCGATCCTCTGGCTCTTCGTCGAATCAGCGTGTAAATATAGGGAAGAGAGGAACGATCGCGAAGGTTAGCTTTTAGTCGCCAGACTTGCTTTTTCTCTAGATGCCAGGGAGAGTCCGAAAACGTTTTGGAGAACTCGAGCGGGAAAGTCTTAGGGCGGTTAGGAATCGTTAGAAATTATATATCGTCTCTCGTCGCGTTTGAATAGATGTCCTTAAGACTACGCTGTCGCTCTTTTCATCGTCGATTCTCTAATATCGACGGGCAAACGTCCGGCTGCTCTCGTGAACCAACACTGCCGCGCCAATTCTAACGTGCTTCGAACAAAGTAAGAAGAACTCGACAAGAACTCGTTCTAAATAGATACATCGATTTCCACTGATTGTCACTGAGCGTTTCACTGGGAAAAGATAGAAAGGTAAACGACAAAGAGGAACGGAAAAGAGGAAAAGAGGAAGCTTGACTCGATGAACTATACGCATGCTAGGCCAGAGATCACGATACACGCGTATTATTATCAAAACCGCTATTTAAAATAGAGAGGCACGGTCTGAATACGATGGATGGAAACAACAACGTAGAGAATGGTCTGAAGTTGCGTGCTGGAAGAAAGAAGAAAGTCGTGTACATAAAATAAGTAGAAATTGTTCTTTTTTTTTCTTTTTTTTTTTTTTCTTTATCGTTGAAGATCGTTTAAGAATCAAGATCGTGAAAATTCATTCGTTACGCTACTCGTCACGCGGACAGCAGTGGTACGCATTAACAACGTTTACATATACATGTATACACGCACGTGCAGCCTATATGCATATGTAAACGTATCGCATTTTCATTATTGCATATACATATATATATATATATATACACACACACACACACACATACACACACGCATATACAAAAAATATATATATATATACATATATTTTTTTTTTAATCCATATAGATGAAATATACTATACGATGGAGGAAAGAATGCGCTAAACAAAAGAGGCAGCTAATTACACACTTTTTTCAGCGGGTCTTGACAACAGTCCGCGACGATCTTTTTTAATTAAAATCCCGCCGAACACTAACGATGGTCTCGTTTAACGTTCGACCTCGCGAGAAACAACTAACAACCGAGGTGTTTGGCAAAAAAAAGAAAAAAAAAATATTTTACAAATATGATGTTTATATTATACAAAAATAAGGAAAAAAAATATCTAACTTAGGTACCTTGTGTCGAGATGAGAAATTATATATATATATAAAATTAGAAATTATATATATATATATATAATTTATATATATATATATATATTATATTGGCGGATTGTTATATGCTATAATATTTCTAAATTAGATGAATCGAGAAGGCATATAAATATATACATAAATATTATGGATGTACATGTATACAAAGCGTTTTATTAGAGTTTACGTGATTAGTTATTACATAAGGACGATATTGTACATATTTATTCACTTCGTCACGCTACACCCTTGAACGAAATTCACTCCGTACGAGCAACAATAGATTTCGTTCGATCATGTTCACCTCCTCATTTTTCCCTTTTCCATTCGTATTTCCATTCATTTAACATTCTTGAAACAGAAACGCTTGCACGCTATACACGAACATACGGCATTTCATCGTTTCACACATCGTTGTATTCGAGTTCAGTTTCGAGAATCGAGAGATCAAACAAAAAGATCCTCTTTCGCGCTGAGAAGATAATAAGAAACGAGACTTTATTCAGAGATACGCGGCGAAAGTCACGCGTGACGCGAGAATGATATTTGTATAATTTAATGTACGCAGTATATATAGGGTAATTGTTCGTATCTATCAATATGCCTGTCTCTATTTACGTGCTCTGACATTGAAATAAATTGTACAGAGGGGCTTGTAAAAATAAAAGGAACATTTCTTTGTATGAAATTAAGGAAGGTACTCCTTGTTTTAATTTCTTCCAATATTAGAGCACACGAGTGGAGGATTAACATACTAACACGGCCAGTTACCCTAGATGCAAATCACTCTACTGAAAAAAAAAAAAAAAGATGTAATTTGATAAAAATGAAACTTTCGGTGCAGAAATCTACATGCATTCGTTGAAACGAGAGCGAGATATCGCTGTGTAAGAGTTTTGTAAAATCCACCTAGCCAAACGAATTAACAGTCGGCACACACACACATACACAGCGGGAAACATTTCAATATTGACTCGACGGAAAAGTCGAATTCGCAGGATAGAAACCGATTACTAATCTTCCGCGCGGTTTG